AAACGTTAAAAAATCTTTTAAAAAGTTAACCATGCTTTTTTCAAATTAGTGCATTTTATCATATGTAAATTAATATCGTAAAGCTAACCATTGTTATATCATGCAAGTAATTCTGTCTGATGTGTTTATCTTCTCAAACTTGCTTACTAAAGTACATGTTACAAATTGGCAGCGCTCACAGCTCTTTTTTAAATAAGTACTAAGGTTATGAAATAATCTCCCCACTCCAAACTCAAAGTAAAGAATATGCTGCAAATAATCATGCATTATAAATAGCAACAACAGTAATTTTAAAGTACATATATAAAAATAAATGCTGGGGTGCCTGGGTGACTCAGTCGGTTGAGCATCTCACTGCTGATTTTAGTTCAGGTCATGGTCCCAGCCAGGGTTGTAGGATTTAGCCCCATGTTGGGCTGCATGCTAAGCATGTAGCCTGCTTAAGATTCTCTCTCCCCATCCATCCCTCCCCACATTTGTGCATGCTCTCTGTCTCTCTGAAAAAAAAAATTTTTTTAAAAAGAAAGAAATTAAAAATAGGTACTAAACTTAAAGATTACTCCCAGATTAGTATTCCAAAATCCCTAGCAGATCCTCTTACCCTATAAATATTGGAGTATTTTTAAATATTTTTGTGGACATACCCTACTTTTATAATCATAAAGCACAGCAAAATTTTTCCACATGTAACTTTATAATGTTTTAAGATACTTAGTTGTTTTTACAGAATATTGGTCATGTATATATGTATCCTCTGAGTTATACTATTCAGACTTACACTTTCATTAATGCAACTAATATTTATTGAGTACTATCATGTTGGGCACTGAGAGACAAAATACATTAATATCAATGTTAAATAATTCAAACAACAAAAGTTCTGAGATCCTGTGTAATTTTTGAAAATGAGAAGTCATTTTTAATCCTATAGGTATATCTTTTTTCTAACGGGCTCATGTGATATTATCAAGAGGCACAGCAAGTGAGTATTCTATTTTGAACCAGCATCGATCATGCAACATAGCATCTATTAGCAAATGAGCTCCACTGAGAAAGAAGCATCCTTTTCTGTGAAGTTTTCATGTTTGTGGTGTCTCACATACAATTACTCTATGGGAATTCTGTCTCACTTCTAACTAGTAGAAACAGAAAGAAAAAATAAAGTCTCTGAAACACACACTAGCACACAGGGCCCTCCTTGTCTTTGCTCTGAAATGGAAAACCAAAGTTTTGCCCAGTTCTCACAAACAGTCAGGAGTTGCCTCATTAAGGCACCTATTTCTAGTTTCTACTGAAACAATGCAAGAATCCTACTTTATCTAAGAGTGAATATTAACAGAGAATTGAAGTTTAAGGGATGTAATGCAAATCTGTTTAGAAGCAACTAGATAAAAAGGAAAACTAAACCTCTTGTTCATGGTATAGCTGACAAAAAAGCAAATAGGAAAGGCATGCAGAATATTGCTTATGAACACCAAAATCCAGTTTCATCTCCAGAGACTAATCTTTGCACATTTTCTGAACAAATATATGGCATATATATTGCAAGTATAGCTTCTGTGAGAGACAGGGTAAAATTCTCATATTCAAATGAGTATGAAAGAAATCAGATGAGAACAGAATTATAGAGTCCTCCATCAATGTGGATTTAGGGTATTCAAGACAACCCCTCACGTGACTTCCTTAGACAGCCAAGAGTAAAATAGTTAGCAATTCTCTCTCACAAATCCAGGAGGTGGACTTTCTGTAAGAGAACACAGTGAGTGGGAAAATGAAGAATTTCCCAAACCCAGAGATAGAGGCTAATTGTTCAAGATTAACTAAAGAACTCTTAGATACAATTTCTCAACACAGGTAGAATATGTGATAAACAAATGTGATGTTTTTCTTTACAGTGGATTAGTTTCCCAATGCAAACTGTTCATGAGTGTCTACCATTATGTTGCTCATGTGTAAGAAATCATAAAAGGTGACCAGGGAACCGTGAGCCTGATATTTACTAATTGTTTACAAAGCATGCCTCAAGATGTCACAATTGGTCTGGAATCCAGAAAAAAAAACCTGAATTCTTAAGCCTTGGACTCCAAATTCCCAGAGTATCACTTTACTTTAGATAAAATATCTTTCAGTCATTTTGACCAATATTTTTATCTATATGCCTGAAAGCAGAAGAGACAGATTTTAAGTTTACCTCCGTGTCTTAGTAACTCAGCAGTGACTTTTTCATTACTAGTTAACATTTCTAAGGCTAGTAAGGTTCACACAGGCTTGCTGATCCTAAGGACAAATTTGTCACTATGCCATTTTTTTTTCCTTTAAAAATCATATAATCCCAAACTCAAGATCTTACCCTCCTACTCACTCTTCCAAAGTTCTTTCAACCAATCCTTGTTGAGCTCTATTAGGGCAAGCATCCTGATACCATTGGGCATAAAATTATGGGAATGAAACAAGAAGTACCATCAAAAAGCTTGAGGTCCCAATAATCCAGAAGAATGCCACTCCAGAAGCTAGTTTCGATAACAACTCTGTATTAAATGAAAATCAATAGGTGCATTTAACTGGACAAATCTTGCTACCAAAATAAAAATGTCTACTGCACTATTCATTCCAGCATTATCTCCTTGACACACAGAGGCTTCTAACAAATGGCTCATGGTCTGGTACTGATCCGCACTCACATTGTTAGCACTCTCTTCTAGATGAAGCTCTCCTTCTCCCCTCCTCCCTCTGTTCCTCCTTGTCCTTCTCTCTCTTCGTTAAATTTTTGCCTCCTTATTCCACACAGAGAGCAAAATATTGGTTCAGTGCAGTTCTCTAAAGTTTACAAGTTATAGATCCATAGAGATTGTCTTCATGACAGTTCCCTCTTGTCTGTCCCAAATTCCAACATGACAGAATATCTGTCAGCCTACCATGAGTGACATGTCCATTTCTAAATTAATCAGTTATGGCCAGGGGTCAGGTACACGGTGCAATAATGGTTTCTGATGGCATTCCTTGAAACAGGAAAGTTTTTAATTGTGAGGACTTCCAACTTACTGATTTTCTCTTTTCCTGCTGGTACCTTTGTTGTCAAATCTAAGAAACCATTGTATAACCCAAGATAATAAAGGTAGTCTGCTCTATTTTCTTTAAAGGGTTTTCGAGTTTCATTATGGCGATGGCAGCATGACTTTGTAAATATGCTAAAATACATTAAATTATATGCTGTAAGCTGGTTAACTATATGCTATGTAAACTATTTCTAAAGCTTTTTTTAAAACAAGGATGGTTTCTGAGTAGTCAAACTCAGAAAGGCATCTACAACAATGAATTTAATAGGCAAATAAATGATGTAGTCAGTAATTGTTCCAGAAATGAAGGAAGGACTGCCTTTACACAGGGCACACAGGGACAGCTTCACATCAGAGGTAATAAGTAGACTATGGTTTGACTGACATCATCATAAGGAAACAATCATGATATTTAGATAGGTGAAAAACCTTCTTATGCACAGGCATGGTTAGTCTGGATTCTCACAACAACCTTAGGGAAGGTATTATTTCTACACCGACAGAGTAGGGAAATGAGACTTGGAAAGAAGAAGTGGCAGGCCCAAAGTTATACATAACTAGAAATGCTTGAGCCAGGAATGGAATCCATGTCTGTCTCCCAAGCTATGGCCTTAGCCACCTAATCAAATCATATAGCAACAAAGTGTCTATTTGTAAGTGTGGGTCAAGAATACTTATGGAGGCATTTAGGCTCATACATTTTTGGATGATAAAGTCAACACCATCCTGTATTCTGTCAACTGTCATTTTTTACAGTAATGTTAACAACAGAAGTTGAGACAACTTACAATGCTAACCGGATATACACTTTATGAAAGTTTAAAAATCTGTGCTTCAAAATGTCATAAACATTACAGGTAGTGTTCTGTTTATGTGATATAGTCAATAATAAAAATTTAAATTTAGATAGAAATGCCATCATAGGGGCACCTGGGTGGCTTAGTCGGTTAAGCGTCCGACTTTCGCTTAGGTCATGGTCTCGCGGTTCATGGGTTCGAGCCCCGCGTCGGGCTCTGTGCTGACTGCCAGCTCGGAGCCTGGAGCCTGTTTCAGTCTGTGACTCCCTCTCTCTCTCTGACCCTCCCCTGCTCACGCTGTCTCTCTCTCTCTCTCTCTCTCTCTCCTAGAAATAAATAAAACATTAAAAAAAAAGAAGAAATGCCCTCATAAAAATTGTTCTCAAATTATGCCATATTTTAATTAAGTTTCGATTACTAAAAGAGAAGAGTATGAGGAAATCAAGAGTATGGGGAAACCAGTGAAATATCTCACTGGAATGGCCTTTATTACAAAATTAGTTATTCTTTACAAGTATCCAAGGGGACATAGTGACTAAATTGCCCAAATGACTTTGTTATAAAACATTTCATCCTATACCATAATGTCATGTGTGGTGTGCTACTGAGTATCAGGGGAGCAAAAAAGGCTGGCAAGAATTAAGTGTCAATACCATTCTCTTTGATCCCTAGAGCAATATCAAAAAGTACATTGTACTAGAAGATCATGTAGGATTGCAAACTGATTGTCCTTAAAAGCTAGGAGTTTTATAAAGTTACTCATTACCACTGAACTTGACTGTCTAGTTCACAGGTTCCACGGGTGTCAAAGAAATGGAGGGTCAGGTATTCCAGGATCCCCTACTGGTAGAGGACTGAAAAGGCATCAGCTACTTTAGTCTATAGCAGCTGCTTATGCAAATTCTGAGATGAGAAAAAAAAAAATGGATTTTTTTTTTCTTTAGGCATTTCCTGGATTAAAAAAAAAAAAAAACTCTAAGTGAAATTATTGTGAAAACTATACCTCATATAAAGTCCTTATATAAAAATATATAAGATTTTTTGTTTTTTAATCTTACCGAAACTCCTCAATAAATTCATTTTAAAATCTCTTTGGGGAAAAAAAGAAGAAATAGGACTATTTTAAACTTGAAACTTTTGTTGGCAGGTACTTCTGTGCTGAAATACCTTTTGGATCAACCTAGAAATGGAGGGGCACAGGTCAGTAGCAGGAAATCGTGGTCAAGAGCTTTATGAAAATTATCCTATTAGTAGAATCGTGGGAATATTACAGATGTGGATTGGAAACATTATTAGCACCTACTTAATAAAGGAGAAGTAAAGGAAAATGATAAATGGGTCTTTAAAACAAGAGGCTCTTGCCAAAATCTCTCATGCTTGCCCTTACAGTGCCACCAATAAAGGTGACTGTATCTCATTGAATATCTTACAGAGATCTCAGAGTAATCCGTCTAAATGGGGCTGTGCTTCAGAACAGGGAAATAAATGGCATCATTAAATTCCTCTGAAGTAATGTCTCCTTTCTCAATAATGTACCAACTCCTATGACAGTTGTCCCTGAGACAGTCAACTTAGCATTGTTCACTCACTAGAATGAGTGACTTTAGATTCTTGGATATAGCCTATATTTAGAAAAAAAAATACATTTGTCTGTGGAATGATAAAAGCACTTTTTTAGACCAAAAATGCACAATTAGCTCAATATAATGTGTTTTCTACTTGTCACAGGAAAGAGTATATTCTGGCCTGTCACTGTCTACCAGCCATTTACAAATTATCCTCTTGAGTGATATGTGACAGGCTTCATTAGCAACCTCAGTGAACCATCCATTTCTTAAAAGGTGACGGTCTCAAATTTGGCATGGCCAGGCTCTATGTATCTTTATTCTTTCTTCTCAACTGGCAACCAGTCCATTGTGTGTTTCCTCATTATCAATAACTGTGCTAAAAGCTAAGAGAAAAGTAGAACTGTAATTGGTCTCATCACATAGCCATTAAGAAATAAAGAGGATAGAATTCACCTCCAGGTGAGATATAAGAATGATGTTTCTGCCCCCAAGAATATGATGGAAACTGCAGAATTGTTCTTATGGCATGAATTTATAAAGAAACTTGTCTACATAACTTTTATATAATATCCAGAAAACAAAGAAAGGTTGGTGTTTGCTGTCAAAATGACATATATAGTAACTCTTTCCTTTACTATGTAAACATGGAAAAAACCCTTAAACTCTTTGAATCTTGGCTTACTACATATATAATATTAATTACATTATTTTCCTTATAGATTTTTGCAAAGTGCATATGAAATCACATGCCTTGCAAGTGTTAGATGTATGGTAGTTACTTATTAATATACATCAAAAGATAAATTACGTAAAATATATTTGGGCATGTGTATGTGTGTGCACACATGCATGTGTGTGCATATAGATGGATGGCTACCTAGAGGGAGAAAAAACAAAAAGAGACTGTTATTTAATCAGGGAATTCAGTATAGACAGTACCTGATTTATCTCCAAGTACTTCTCTCAGGCACAGAGCAACTCTACTTTTGCAATATGGGTCAACCTACAGGTTTTGAACGTCCGTTTTGTGATGTGCCCTGCATAAAGTGCCGTGCATGAAGTGCTTTCAATTATAGGTGGCTGCTAAAATTCATGTCAGAAAGTCAAGAAACAACTTCTATATGTGTGCTTTTACTAAAGCTTGTTTAAATCATTGACCTTTCCTCTTTGGTTCATAACACCTTGTCAAGATGCAATGGACTGTTGCTAATATAAAAGAAAACAAAGATTCTATTCTGGGAAGAGAATTCTGCCTGTCTGAAGTGCAAAGGACTAGCAATCTTACAGAGGAATGTTAAAAAGCTACAAACCAGAACGTACTTGTTCCACAGACATTATTGTGCTTGATCAGGTGGAGGAGAAAGACAAGGGGCAACAAATGTTCATTGACAGCCAATATGTTCATCAGATAAGGAGCCACATAAACAGCTGCAATCGACAAACAGGTGCAATCTCAAATTTTACATTGTGTCTAAGTACATGAATTAAAATTCAGAGTCTATCTTAATGCCTGACTTTCCCACTTAAAACTTTGGTAATTGGTCATTTTTCATTCTATTTTCCACTCTCATGTTGCCATAAACTTCGAACTCCCTGATGGATAGCTGTCAATGAATAATTCATTTATCCAAGTCTCCCACTGTGTAAATTTTTTATTACATCTTTGGGCAGTGGATACACTTTACAAGTCCCATCAGAGCTCTGGAGAGTTTCAGAAATTCTGTGCAGATTAAACAAAAAAAAAAGAAAGGATGAAAAAAAGAAAAGAAAAAGTACTCTGGCCATACCACTAAAGCAATACAAAACCAGATTTCAAATATCACCTATGAATTAGGCCAAAAGGGAGAGGTGATGGCAATGTAATAGTTTTACTATCAGAGCTGGCTTAACTCTGCAGGTTCTAATGTTAAAGAACTTCAGTATGGAATGGCAGGGGACATAAATGTGAAGTTTTAAAATCATCTTTAAAAATAAAATGGAGGGATGCCTGGATGACTCAGTCGGTTAGGCATCCGCCTTTGGCTCAGGTCATGATCTCAAGATTTGTGGGTTCAAGCCCCCACATCCGGCTCTGTGCTGACAGCTCAGAGCCCGGAGCCTGCTTCGGATTCTGTGTCTCCCTCTTTCTCTGCCCCTCCCCTTCTCACGCTCTATCTTTAGATAGGGTTTAAAGAAGAGTTTTAAAAAACAAATAAAAATAAAATAAAATAAAATAAAAATGGAAGACAAAGTAATTGGACTGTACTTTCAAGTACAATTATGTTAAGTATAACAGAAGTACCATTCGTATGGAAAACTCATTTAGATAACTATTAACTACTGATATGAAGCATATATGCAAGAAAAGCATTTCCTCAAGAGGCTCTATAGATGGAGGCAAGAGTTCTTTGCTCATCCCCATCACTGACATACCATCTTACACTATGTTTCCGAGAGGCAGTTACAAGATAAACTTTAGCATAATAGACTCGGAGAAAGCTTTTAAAGGACAGCTACATGCGGGTTAACTCTGTAATCCCCAAATTTATTTGGCTCTAAATCCACACTTATATGGCCAATTCATCTATAAATAGGGCACAAGAATATATAAGGGGGAAAGATGATCTCTTCAATAAATGGTGCTGGGGAAACAGAGGAGTCACATGCAAAAGAAGGCAACTGGTCCACTTTCTCATGCCATACACAAAAATAAACCCCAAATGGATAAAGGACCTAAATGTGAGACCTTAAACCATAAAAATCTTAGAAGAAAACACAGCCAGGAATCGCTTAATCATCACCCTTAGCAGCGTTTTTCTAGATATGTCTCCTCAGGCAAAAGAAACAAAAGCAAAATTAAACCATTACAACTACACCAGAATAAAAACTTTTAACACAGCAAAGGAAATCATCAACAAAGTGACAAGAAAACCTACTGAGTGGGAGAAGACAATTGCAAATGATGTATTTGATAACAAGTTAATATCCAATATATAAATAACTACTAAAACTGAACACCAAAAAAAGCAAATAATCTGATGAAAATATGAGCAGAGAACATGAGTAATTTTCCAAATACAGATGACAAAGACACATACAAAGACGGTAGCCATCACTAATCATCATGGAAATGCAAATAAAAACCACAATGCGATAGTATTTTACACCTGTCAAAATGGCCAGAATCAAAAAGACAAGAAATAACAAATGTTGGCAAAGATGTAGAGAAAAAGGAAACTTCACTCATTGGTGGGTGTATAAATTGGTAAAGCCAGTAGAGAAAACAGCATGCAGACTACTAAAAAAGAAAGAAAGAGAAAGAAAGAAAGAAAGAAAGAAAGAAAGAAAGAAAGAGAGAGAGAGAGAGAGAGAGAAAGAAAGAAAGAAAGAAAGAAAGAAAGAAAGAAAGAAAGAAAGAAAGAAGGAAGGAAGGAAGGAAGGAAGGAAGGAAGGAAGGAAGGAAGGAAGGAAGGAAGGAAGGAAAGAAAGAAAGAAAAGGAAGGAAGGAAGGAAGGAAGGAAGGAAGGAAGGAAGGAAGGAAGGAAGGAAAAAGAAACACATGGGGCACCTGTGTGGCTCAGTTGGTTGGCGTCCAACTTCAGCTCAGGTCATGATCTCATGGTCCATGGGTTTGAGCCCTGTGTCACGCTCTGTGCTGATAGCTCAGAGCCTAGAGCTCCTTCGGATTCTGTGTCTCCCTCTCTCTCTCTGCCCCTCCTTTACTTGTGCTCTGTCTCTGTCTCTCCCAAAACTAAATAAACATAAAAAAAATTTTTAAAGAGAAATACCATATGATCCAATCTTTCCACTACCAGGTATCTATTCAAAGAAAACAAAAAACAAAAAACAAACAAAAAAAAACAACCTAATTTGAAAAGACATATGCACCTCCATGGCTATTGCATCATTACTTATAATATCCAACATATGGAAGCAATCTGTGTCCATTGATAGATAAATGAATAAAGAAGACATGGTGTGTGAGTTTGAGTGTGAGTGTGGGTGTGGGTGTGTGTGGGTGTGGGTGGTGGAATACTACTCATCCATAAAAAGTGTGATCTTGCCATTTGCAACAACATAGATGGATCCAGAAAGTATTTTGCTAAATGAAATTACTCTAAGACAAATACCACATGGTTTCACTTATATATAGAAAGTAAAAACAAAACAAAAAAACAAACAAACAAAAAAAGAAAACAAAGTAGAAACACACCCAAGAAGACTGAGAACAAACTGACGGCAGCCAGAGGGAGGCAGGCAGAGGACTAGTACGGGGGAGTGGAAGATACAGGTTACCAGCTACAGAATGAATGAATACTCACAGGGATGAAAGGTACAGCATAAGGAATATACTCAATGAGGTTGTAATAGTATTTTATGATGGCACATGATAGCTACACTATGGTGAGCATAGCATAATGTACAGAGTTACTGAATTACTATGTTATATACTTGAAAGTAACATAACTTTAGGTTATGTGTCAACTATACTTCTAGAAGAAAAAATCAAATTAAATTAAACTTAAGAAAAAAAACATACTACTTGTGTTCTACTCAAAACAGGGAAACTAATTAAATGAGCCTCATGTCCCAAATTCAATCTTTAGAATATTCATTATTGAGCTTTAGAAAAACATCAATAAGTTTAATAATTTTTAAGAATATCATCTCAAATGTCTAATAATATATTGAGAAATATCATATTTTAGCTCAGAAGGTAGTCAAAATGCTACTATTTGTGAGAACTCTTTAAAAACAGTCTACACTAACTGAAAAATCAAAAG